GTGCACGTCACCAGGAAATGATGCGACCATGCTGGGGGCGGGGCCACGGTCATCCGAGGGAAAACTCTATGGTTTTCCCTTGGATGGTCGTGGCCCCGCCCCCAGCGTGCCTGGCGTGGTCGCGTCACTTCCTGGTGACGTGGATGCAGTGCGTGCACACTCCAGAATCTACCCGGGAGTCCCCCGCTTCAGGACGAGGTACGACTTGGCAACCCTACTGTCATGATGTCTCTGAAACAGGGGTACTCAAAAGCAAGGCCAGACTTTCTTCATACTCAAGGCATTCACTCAAAATTACTCCGTCACACTGGATGAGAAGACTCAGACTAATGGATATAAACTACAACAAAGGAGTTGAGGAAGAACTTCCTGACAGTGAGGTGTGTTGGACACTGGAACAATCGCCCTCATGAACTGGTGGATCCTTTGTCATTCGAGGTCTTAACATATCAATTGGATATGTAGTGGTTTGGTGTAGTGGTTAAGTGCGCGGCCTCTAATCTGGGAGAACCGGGTTTGATTCCCCACTCCTCCACTTGCACCTGGCTGGATGACCTTAGGCAAGCCATAGTTCTGACAAGAGCTGTTCTTGAAAAAAGAGCAGTTCCTGTCAAGAGCTCTCTCAGCCCCATGTACCTCACAGGGTGTCTGTTGTGGGGAGGGGAAGGGAAAGGAGTTTGTAAGCCGCTCTGAGACTCCTTTGGGTAGTGAAGGGTGGGGTATAAATCCAATCTCTTCTTCTTCTTCTTCTTCTACCTCACAGGGATATTATAGCTGTAGTCCCTGCATTGGAAAGGGATTGGACTAGAAGACTCTGGTGGTCCCCTCCATCTCAGAGGTTAAACAAAATATTTTGAAGTTGAAAATGCACCCCTGTGGCTTTAAGGACTGACTGTGTTCATTGCCCTCGGAATGCTGAGAGCAGATGAGAATAAGCTAAAGAGGGGGAGAGGAAAACAGAAAGGGGGTTGGGGGGGGTTGGCTTGCTGAAGCCTCTAATGCGGGGGTCTCCAATGTGCCCAGGTGCCCCATGGCACCCACCAGCAACTTCCCTGCCACCTGCCAAATGTTTTTAAAAACAGGTGGGGCCCTGCCCAGCAGTGCTCCCCCTAAGCTGAGTTAGTGTGAGCTAGCTCACAGTTTTTTTAGCCTCCGGCTCACACATTTTTGTCTTGGCTCAGGAAGGAGGGCTCCAGAGGCAAACTAATCTATGCAGTAGCCAAACCGCTCGCTCACGACTTTCATGCCAGTACCTCATCAAGCAGAATTTTTGCCCGCAGGACTCCACCGCTTAGAGGGAGCATTGCTGCCCAGGAGGGCTTCTGACGGCCCACTGGAGAACCAATTGGCTATGCAGATTAAAATAACATTTCAGCGACGGCTGTCACTGTGGTGTCGGTTTTATTCCCTCTCTGGGTCCGCTTTCCCACTGTATTTTTAACATTTGCTCCTCTCGTCCCCTGCGCTTGGGCTTCCTCTGCGCATGTGTGGTTGTCTCCGCCTCCCATGGTGGCCATTTTATGATTGGGCCCACAACCCTGTGTCAGGATTCCAAAGGTGCGCACAGGCTCAAAAAGGTTGGGGACCCCCTACTGCAATAGAATCCTGAAAGCAGAGATCTGTGTTACTGCGGGGGGCAGTGACTTTGCCAACTGCTTATATCACATCCAATGCTCCCTCTAAGCTGTGGAGTCTTGTGAGCAAAAGTTCTACTTTGTGAGCTGCTGGCATTAAAGTCGTGGGCGAGCGATATGGCTACTGCATAAATTAGTTTGCTCTGGAGCAAAGTTTCCTCTAGGTTGCAGAGTCTTGTGAGCAAAAATTCTACTTTGTGAGCTGCTGGCATGAAAGTTGTGAGCAAGCGATTTGGCTACTGCATAGATGAGTTTGCTCTGGAGCCATCCTTCCTGAGCTAAGACAAGAATGTGTGAGCCAGAGGCTAAAAAACTGTGAGCTAGCTCACACTAACTCAGCTTAGAGGGAACACTGCTCTGGCGCCATCCTTCCTGAACTAAGACAAAAGGGTGTGCGCCGGAGGCTAAAAAAACTGACCTGGCTCACACTCATTCAGCTTACAGGGAACACCGATCACATCCCGTGGCTGTCCGACACATCGATTTCAGATCCCAAACAACATTTCGAACAGAAAAAGGGAGGAGTGTTATAAAAGAGAAACTTTCCCAATAAAGTCCTCCACGTGATGACGTTGACGTGAGCTTTGATTTCGGGAATGCGAGAGCAGCACATTGCCAACGCTTGCACATGTTAAACACCAGCCACAGTTAATGGTTTTTTACACTTAAATTTATCTACATAATTACATGTCATGAGAACAATTATAAGTGCCCAGAGGGATAATTATAAGATATCATTAGACAACTTCAGAAGTCATTTCTGTACCGTCAGTTTTTATAAGGGTTCTGTTTTGACTTAACAGAACGGCGCTGCGTTTCCCACCATTTTGCGATGAAATATTTAAAGACGGTGCTGTCGGGGGGGGGGGTCCCATGATTGGTTTTACTTGACGAATGGGGCACTCTGAGAGTCTTGCGTATACACACAGCAAATCTCGGGAAGACAAAATGCAAGCTGTGTCAATGAGAGTAGTTGAAGTTGCATACGTCCATAGAATCTGGGTTGCAAAACTTGGAAGTTCCCCCCTCCTTCTTTTGAAACAAAATATTTTTCACAATTTGCATGCTGAGGCTCAGTGGTAGAGTATCTGTCTTGCATGCAGAGGGTCCCAGGTTCAATCCCTGGTATATCCAGTTTAAAAGATCAGGCAGTAGGTGATGTGAAAGACCTCTGCCTGAGACCCTGGAGAGCTGCTGCCAGTCTGAGTCGGCAATACGGATTTGATGGGCCAATCAGCATAAGGCAGTTTTGTGTCTGTTCACGCGTGACTAAAGGAGCATCATTTGTAAAGAAGTTGGTGACTTATGGAGCTGCGGTGGCTCAAGTGGTTAAGATGCTGAACTGCAGGCTGTGGAAGGTCGGTAGTTCAGCAGTTCGAGACCCGGGTGCCGCATGATGGAGTGAGCTCCCGTCTCTAGTTCCAGCTCCTGCCAACCTAGCAGTTCGAAAGCAAGACATTGCAAGTAGATGGATAGGTACCACTTCGGTGAGAAGGGAACAGCGTGTTTAGTCATGCCGGCCACATGACCACAGAAACGTCTTCGGACAGCGCTGGCTCTTCGGCTTTGAAACGGAGATGAGCACCGCAACCCTAGAGTCGGATTCGACTGGCTTTCGAGCAAGGGAACCTTTACCTTTACCTGGTGACTTTTGCCACAACTTGCTCTATGATGACCGTGACTGAGGAGTATGTGAAGAACGTCATTTTAACTAGAGTTGTGCTTGTGGGAGAAGAGGCTTTCTGACAACTTCCATTTCTCGATCTTCCCCGTAATCTGAGCATCCGAGCTGGCTACAGCTGCTCAGTGCCGAAAAGAATGCCCTTTCTTTTTTGTTAGAATCTGACAACCCCGCGCTGCTGACCCCTGGTGCTAGAAGCAGGCGCATAAGTCCCTATGTGCCTGTTGAGTGCTAATGATGGGGAAATAGTTTTCCACAAATTCAGTCATCTTTTTTTTTAAAAAAAACAAAAAACAAAAACTATATCTGGAAAGAAATCAAAGTGGGGGAGAGAAATTAACAATGCCAGGAGTTAAGTAATCACCCTGTCACCTACAACATTCTTAACAAAATATGAAACTTGGCTCTGGGAACGAACAGTAATTTAACCACTTGAGAATGTTCTCAGTGTGGAATCAAAATTATAATTTTTTTTTTAAATTGACATTCATTTGCATGAACAAATCTGCTTTGAGATGGGCAAATAAACGTCGGTGCAAAATGTGATTTTTATTCTGTGTGTTGTTGTGAAGGCATGACTCACGTCCTTTGGGTCTCCTTCAGATCCCTTCAATGGCCTTTACTTTTTTCTTTCTTTCTTTCAAAAAGCAACAGTTTTCTGATTGAAAACCAGCTGCTTCTCTCTTTCGTGGTCTTGGATGCCTCTCAACTGTTCTGTACTGTTCTGCTTTATTTATTTATTTATGTATTTATTTATTTATTTATTTCCACTTCTATCCCACCCTCCCCGCAAATCAGGCTCAGGGCAGGTTCCAGCCTGTGATAATCTGCTAAATGCAGATTTACAACAATAAAAACAAGATAACAGAACATGTACAATAAATGCAATAAAATAACGTCAGCCATAAATACTTTAAAATAAATCATACCTCATCGGACACAAGAGTGCGACTCATTAGTGTAGTGGTTAGGAGCGCGGACTCTAATCTGGGAGGAACGGGTTTGATTCCCCCACTCCTCTACTCAGGGGTTGTTTCGTAGAAAAAGAGCTAGGAGAACTCATTAGCATATGCCACACCCCCTGACATCACCGGAAGTGTGTCATAAGGCCACACCCACCACTCAGTTAGTCTTAGTCTTAAAGGTTAGTCTTAAAGGTGCTATTTGAACTCTTGGACTACTTTGCAGCAACAGACTAACACAGCTACCTCGGGGAAGCTCCTGGATGGGGCTGGGAGTCCTTGCGGAGGCCACGTGGAGTGGCCTCGGCCAGGCAGAGGAGGAGGACGCCAACTTACCCTCCTGCTTCTTCCTCCTTCTGCAACAGAATGAGGCTGGAAGAAGGGGGGGCGGAAGAAGGGGGCGGGGCTTCATCGATCCCCCGCGATCCCCCCCGAAATGACCTCTGCCTCTACTCATAGCTGCTGGATGACCTTGGGCAAGCCATAGTTCTGGCACAGCTGTCCTTGAAAAGAGCAGTTTGTGTCAGAGCTCTCTCAGCCCCACCGACCTCACAGGGTGTCTGTTGTGGGGAGGGGAAGGGAAAGGAGTTTGTAAGCCGCTCTGAGACTCCCTTGGGTAGTGATGGGCGGGGTATAAATCCAATCTCCTCCTCTTCCTCCTCCTCTTCTTCTTGTTATGGATGACAGGGGAGGCCAGATCGAGTTGAATATCCGCTGCCTCACCTGAAGGCCCGGCGGGAGAGCTCCATCTTGCATACCCTGCGGAACTGTAAAAGCTTTGGTGCATCAATTGCTCCATTTTTTTTTAACCTTTGGATGATTACCTGAGATTTCAGTGCACCTCAGTACATATGACTTATACCTACTCAGTACCTGTTGTAATCCGGGCTCCCACGGTACGTCTGTTACATATATATTTAAACCAGAGGTGCCCCAGCATGGTGCCCTGGGGAACACGGAGTCCTCCAACACCATTCCTGGTGCCCAGCAAGTACTTTTAGAAAGTGGGCGGGGCTAGGTGGGGCTTTTGCCCAGCAAGGCTTCTGATTGGACACTGGAGATTTGATCTAATGTTGTTGTTGAGGCCTCTCACGTTATAAGAAATAACTCTAACGTCGTCGTGCATGTTGGACTGTAAAAGTATGGGTTATAGGAAGAATACAGTAATGAGATAAGAAAAGTAGAATGGTGGAAAAGCAGGTGTGTGCTAAAGAAATCTAATAAACTAAAAAATTGAGTATTAGCTTCAAAGAAGCAGAAAGGTAAAATTAGTAGCTATAATATAGGAGACGTGAATAATAATAGCTAAAATATACAATTAATTATCTTTATTTTCATATAGATATAGTTCAATAAAATGTTAATTAACAAATGTTAATAAAATGTTAATTAACAAAGACATCGACGTCGGCAGCCCCCACTGCACAAGGATCTTCACTGCGTGATTGAAGGTAAGCTGCGACAGACGGTTTGCGACTGGCTCCACCTCCCGCAGCAGCCATTTTAAATGTTAATTAACAAAGAGATCGACGTCGGCAGCCCCCACTGCACAAGGATCTTCACTGCGTGATTGAAGGTAAGCTGCGACAGACGTTTTGCGACTGGCTCCACCTCCTGCAGCAGCCATTTTGTAGCACCCATTTTGTGACTTGTGCCCACCATGCTGTGGCAGAAGTCAAAAGGTGCCTGCAGGCTCAAAACATTTGGGGACCCTTGATCTCTAAGCGAATTCCCGGTGCCCTCATGCAATCCAGAAGGATCTGCAGAGATTTACTTCCGCAGCATGGACGACTTGGAGTGGGATGGAACTTTCCGGCAAGAATTCTTGTCGGGCACATGAAGCCATGCCAAGGAGATGTTCTACCTCTGATCCACACCAGGAATTCCAAAACATCCTTATGTGTGAACACATGGAGATGCCTTCTACTGAATCAGGCTTTGGTTTATCAAGGTCAGTATTGTCTACTCTGACCGACAGTGGGGTGTAGACTTTCCAATTTCCCGGGGGGGGGGCTGGGGCTGGGCCAGAGGCATTGCTTTGCTAGGAGCAAGGGTGGCTCCCGGGGGAGGCTGAGCACCTTCCTGAAAATTTCGGCGGAGGCTGAAGCCCCGCCGCCCCCACGAAGATTACGCCTACCTTCTTCCTACAAAGCAGATGTTCTACCAGTGAGCCATGGTCCGGTCCCATCTGTGTTGCCAAGAGCCCCACCTCGTATTTCTCAGTCTGTTTTCCATCCTCCTTCTGCCATTCTTTCGCTACCAACTGCATATCAGATAACTATACTGCCTAATCTCAACTGTTCAAAAGCAGGCGATGTAGAGATGTAATCAAGAGAACACCTATGTGGACACTTGATCCACAGTTACAGATCTGTTATGTTTGGATTAACAACATTCCCCCTCTTGATAGCTCTTCCTCCTAGTATTTATCTGCAAACAAAATGCTCACAAATATAGATATTAGCAGAGTTCCCTGAGAAGCACACGCTCTCCTGTCGTTTCCTTTTCCCCTTCTGTTTTGTGTTTTCTTGTTACCCCTCCCCAGCTTGTTTTATACGGTCTTTCTTCGGGAAACGTTAATACATGTTGCATTTGTAGTTGTAATATATGTTATTACCAAACTTCAAACGTTAAATAATAATAATAATAAGTGGCATTTGCCCCCAGCATGCCTGTATGGTAATGTGTGAATTGGCCCTTAAACCTCATGGCTATCGGGGATTGGGATGGTGGGGGTCTCATCTGGAATTGGTGGGTTTTGAGGAACATCTATAGGAGGACGGAGAAGTAGCGCCTTGCTGGTGTTCCAGAAGGCAGTGGTACGTTTTAGCCAGTGTAGGTTTTTTTCCCACATGGGAAATGCAAAATACCAATTTAAGTGTCACTTCTGAAAAACAGGCTCTAAGTAAGGACAGAGCACCGCAAGCACTTAGCAAAAATCATACGTACGGTTCTATTGAGAAGCCTGTATGTTTCCCCGCGGGGAGCTGTCGAAGACAAATACCAAAGTTCAAACTACGCTGCTATAGGTGTTTAAAAAAAGTCAAGCTGCAAGTTTCATACTGCTGGCCTTCTAACCGGGTAATAAAGGACTAGGGAGAAAGCCGCGTTCGGACCCCATGGGGCACAAAGGCTTAAGTGACTTCCAGCACATAATTCAGTCTATTTTTTGAACCTTTCTCTCTTCCAGCTTTCTCCATATAAAGATTTTTAATTTGTGCCCTGGCTGTTGTGTTCTCGAATTCCACTCCCTTCCACCCTGCTCGGTAGCCAAAAGAGCACGTGGGGGATAACTGCCGGTTGAAGTGTAGGCAGCCAGAAGGGTGCACAATGGAAGTCGGAAAGCTGATCTTTATCTGGGCCATGGGTGTGACAGGGCTTCAAAGGACGAGTTAGGGCGGCACGTAGAAAGAATGGAGGGGTTGGCTATCAGGCCCAGCGGGTGGCGTTGTGGCAAGCCCAACCCTCGTTGCGGGCGACCGCTCGGCTTAATAAGCACCTTCCTCAAATTACATCCTGCAAGCTTATTAACACTCTGCAATCCTTCTATCTGGAGGAAGAAGAAGAAGAAGAAGAAGAAGAAGAAGAAGAAGAAGAAGAAGAGATTGGATTTATACGCCCCCCCTCACTACACAAAGGACTCTCAGAGTGGTTTACAATCTCCTTTCCCTTCCCCACCCACAACAGGCCCCCTGTGAGGTAGGTGGGGCTGAGAGAGCTCTTTCGAGGACTGCTCCTGAGAGAACAGCTCTGAGAGAACTTGTGACTGACCCAAGATCACACCAGCAGTCGCATGTGGAGGAGTGGGGAATCAAACCTGGTTCTCCCATATTAGAGTCCCCCCACTCTTAACCACTACGCCAAACTGGCTCTCTGAGAGCAGAAGGAAGATTGTACAGACACACCCCAGGGCCGGTTTCTGTTGGAGCACCTAGTACAGGGACCCCCGACACAGATCCCATGGATTCCATGGTACCCGCCAAATGTTTTAAGAAACTGGGCAGTGCCAGGTGGGGCTTTTGCCCAGCAAGGCTCCTGATGGGCCATCGGAGATATGACTGACAATGCAGATTTTTTAAAATGTTGTTTGGGCAGCACCTGGTACCGCCGCACAAGGATTCTCGCTTGGCTGAAGGTAAGCTGCGGCAGCCATCTTGTGTCTGGGTCCACCTCCTGCTGCAGCTATTCTACGGCAGCCGTTTTGTGACTGCACCCACCGCATTATGTCAGAATTCCAAAGGGACCTGCAGGTTCAAAAGGTTGGAGACATCTGACCCAGTACTTACAAGTTGCTGAGATTCTTACAAAGGATGCTGGACATGTCGGACCTTGGACTGATCCAGAAAGGTGCTTTGGAAGCACTTACGTAGGAGTGCTTCCTCAGACAATGGGGGACTGCTGAAGTTGGTGGTCCATCACGAAACTTCCTGCTGCGTCGTGGCTCCAAAAACAATGCTGAGATGCTGAGACCTGCAGTCCATCTATATCTGCCTGCAATAACCACAGAAAGGTAGATCCAGGCAGGGGTCATTTCCTGCAGGAGCGCACAGGAGCGGAGCTCCAGCAGTAAAGAGCCCAGGGGGCGGGCACATGCAACAAGCCACACCCCCTGCTCCCAGCAGCCTTCAGTCAGAGCAAGAAGCAGCCAGGTAAGTTGCAGAGCCCCCCCCCCCGTCCAAAACAGTCCAGTGGCACCTTTAAGACCACGTTTTATTCAGGTACAAGCTCTCCCTCCTTTGCGAGGACATCTGTGTGGGGAACCCCCCCCCCATAGCTAGCAATCCAAAACAGTCCAGTGGAGCCTGAGCGGTGGGTGTTGCCTTCTGACACACTTCCGGTGATGTCAGGGGGTGTGGCCTATGCAAATAAATTATGCTAATGAGCTCCTTCACCTCTTTATTTATGAAATGACCCTTGGATCCAGGTGGTCAGCTGTGTTGGTCTGAAGCAGTACAACTAATTTAGAGCTCAGTGGGGCGCCTTTAAGACCAACAAAGGCTTATTTAGGGGATGAGCTTTTGTGTGCATGCAGGCAACGTTCAACAGCAAATTAAGATGCAACAGGATGAGGATCAAGATATGCAAAGTGACACTAAATAACAAGTTAAAGTTATAGGGTCAACAGTTGTAAAGCAATAAATACGTCACACTAGCAGATAAATGTCTAGACATTTATTTAGTGTCTCTCTGCATATCTTGATCCTCATCCTGTTGCATCTTAATTTGCTGTCGAACGTTGCCTGCATGCACACAAAAGCTCATACCGCGAATAAACCTTTGTTGGTATTAAAGGTGCCCCTGGCCTCTAAACAAAAAGGTAGTTAGGCTGCGGTCACACGGAGCATTAGCCACGCTACAGATACGTGGATTTTCTGGGCGTGATCAAACCGCAACATCTGGGAAGTGTAGAGCTCCCATGGCAAACCCGAGGCTTCCTGCCGAAGATGCGCCATAAAAAACTAGTACCTCCGAGGTACTAGTTTCCGGAAACCACGGGGCAAGGGCAGGCGTCTGATCACATTTCCGGTGGTAGCTCGTGGCATCTGGCACCCGCCCATGTCCCATCGCGAAAAGGTTTTTTTCCCCCAAGTCTCCATGAGATGCACACAAGCACCCAACGGCGCATGCGCACACTTTGGTTAAAAAAACCCACAAGCCCTGCTGCACCGCTTCTTTGCCACGCCGCAGGATTTATGTATGATCGGCACCTCCCCCCAAACCATGGGACGTCGGCGGGACGTTTGATCCG